GTTTGTGGTAGAAGGGCCCCGTAGAACTCCAGGCCAGGTGTGGTTGCATCAGGATACTACCCTGGGTGGTACAAGCCCAGGGCCATCCTGTCACGTATGCTAGGCTGGGGTGGCCATAAACTCGATGACCATCCCATCCTCAGGAGCCCGTGAACATCAGGCAGGGTGTGTCTCGCCCCAACCACAGTCCCAGACAGCCTGGCACTTCTCGGCCATCTTGCGTGTGGAGAAGTTGTGCCAGAGCAGCTGACCCCGAAGCCAACCAGGCAGTCCTTCCCGGAAGGTGCGCTGCATCAGGCCTTCAGTATTTCCGATGTCTTTGGGATAGTCACAACCCACCTTGCTCCACTGCCAGTTCCACTGCATGAACGAAGTCCAGTGGCCCCTGACCTACTGCCATCCTTGCTTGGCCATGCATATCGTACAAGTGCTGAGCCGTGGCCACACCACGGAACTGGTCCCGGAGTCGAGCCTTGAAACTCACCCAGTCCTGGATGTTGGCGAACACAGGACTGTTCAGCACTGACCAGGCATATCTGCTTATCCTGCTACGTGCCATGCAGATGTAAGCCTTGGAGGTGGCAGGCTGAGTCGAAAGCTCGATGCTGGATATCCAAGACTCCAGCTCCTGACTCCGCTGAATGCCTTGGGAGGCAGGCGTCTCACCACAAAAAGATTGTACCTCGTCACGTCCCTGCCCAGTGTAAAGCGAGGACAGGCGTGACCACATGGTTGAGCTGGCACTGACTGGGAGTAGGGAGGTATACAACTAGCAGCTGCTGGAGATGCCATGTGTAGATGGGCAGGGGACAGTGGATGCTGCAGGCGTGGCACATACTGGGTCGACTGAGGCAGCATTGAGGGCTGCAGATGGTCCGCAGGCCCCGATACAGACCTGACAACATGGGTGGTGGTGGCTGCAATCCAGCCGCAGATGAGGTAGCTGTTTCCCTAGAGCTAGCAGCCGCAACCCAATGATGTCCTAGGGTGTGTCTTCTCTCTCCTGCATCAGTGTCTGACTGGTCACCCATCACAGGA